AATGTAACTCCCCCTTTCTCTGAGTCTATGCTCTCCAACATCATTTCCTTTTATGTGTAATTTTCCTGTGGAGAACACACATGGCTTAGTCAGCCCTATCCTGACAGTCCTCAAGGCTTACAACTATCAGGGCATTCTGATTTATACATCAGGCTGTTGTAAATGTGGGTATCCATAGGCTATTTTTTAGATAAGATAACTGACAAAACTGTTTATAGACAGCTGAAACTTGAACCCTAGAAAGTAGTGACTACCTGAGCCTCTGAGGCTTGGTCCAGGCCACCATCTGGGTTCTGGGGATGTCTCTGTTTAGTAGCAAAATCAGCCTGTGACAAAAAGCAAGCAATTGTCAATTCCAAGATGGGCCCTGCTTCCCTTCCTTTTGGTAAAACCAAGTTTTAGTTAAAATACCCAAAAATGATTTCCCAAACCACAATTACTTTCTCTTCGTGTGGCAGGCCCACTACGTTGGGAGGGTAAGAACAAGATAAAAACTTACAACTGTTATTGAAAGACCTTCTGGAACTACCAAACTACTCTTAAGGCACTTAGTGTGGGAGTTGTCTTTCTTAAAACTGCCACGATTGTAAAGAAACAGGGAAAGAGGAGAAAAATAGTACCATTCAACTAGGAAGGGTGCAATGTTGGGTTCTATGTGAAATTATAATAGAATAAGGAAGAAACCTATTCTTCTCTATATATTTCAACCTCCTCTGTCTTCCCAAGACTAAGATGGGAGCCTCTTTCATGTGCTCCTGTGGCGTCCACTGTTGACTCATAAGCCTCTTCGTACTGCATTAACACTGTACCTCCCACCAGAATGTGAGCAACTTCATGGACTGTGTCTTAATCATCTTTGTTTCCCGACAGCTAGTGCTGTCCTGGCACACAGTAAGAACACAGTAACTCTTGGCCAAAATAAATAAACAGCATACTTCTGTATTTCATTGGCTGTATGACCCCCACCAATTATAAGACACTTTACATGCAACACCGCTAAGAAAGAAAAAAATTAAAATCAGAAGACTCATTCCAACTTTAGGGTTGCCATCACCTTGATTTCAGGCCTGGAACAGGAAAGAGGCAGCCATAAAAATGTTGAAGACCAATCAGCGTCACTATATAGATGGACACGTATGCCTACTACACACACAGACACCTTTCCTTTCTAGTTAAGTCATTTGTCTTCTCTACCTTGAGTTATCTTCTAAGACCAGATGTTTCAAATTTAAATGAATCGCCCTCCTGTCTGAACACCAGTTAACTAAAGATAGATAGAGGAACTCATTTGTCCCCATTTCTTAGTGATGGTTAGGTCCTGGGGCTGAACTAAAAAAAAAAAAAAAAAAAAAAAAAGAAGTATTATTTGTTGCCTCTATCAAGGCAGCTTAAATGATGAGAATCAGTGCATCCAAAGGAAAATATTTTTGCCACCACTTAAGATTATAATAAAAAAAAAAAAAAAGCTAATTCATCATCTAATGAAAGGAAACATGTCAGAACAAAATTACTAGGTAATGAAAAATCTGGACAGTGCTATGGCACTTATCAGAAGATCTCAAAGCAATCCCACACTGTCATCAACACAGCCTTGTTGTAAGTAGGATGCAGATGAAAAGTGTCCCTTTCTACACTGTAATACACCATGAAACTAAGATCAAAAAGGTTAAGCAAAATTGCCCTGGCCAGTTTGGCTCAGCTATAGAGCATCAGCCCGCAGACCAATGAGTCACGGGTTCAATTCCGGTCAAGGGCACTACCTCTGTTGTGGTTCATCCCTGGCCCTGGCCGGGGTCGTGTGGGAGGCAACCAGTTGATGTGTTCCTCTCACGTCGATGTCTCTCTCTCCCTTTCTCCCCCCCCCCTCTCTCCCTCCTACTCTATCTGAAGATAAATAGAAAAATATCCTCTGGTAAGGATTAAAAAGTAAAAAAAAAAGGTTAAGCAAATTAATAAAAATCAAGTAGTAATTATTATTATACACAAAGATACATTTATATATAAATATACTCCTACACACACAAATGGAGTTTAAATGTGATTGCATACAGCCTGGCCAATTTGGCTCAGCAGTTGGAGCATTGGCCAATGGACCAAAGAGTCATGGGTCTGATTCCAGTCAAGGGCATGTACCTCAGTTTCAGTTTGGTCCACGGCACTGGTCAGGATCATGCAGGAGGCAACCAGTCAAAGTGTCTCTCTCACATTGATGTTTCTCTCTCTCTCCCTCCCTCCTAATCTATCTGAGGATAAATGGAGGAATATCCTCAGGTGGGGATTTTAAAAATATATATAAACAAATAAATAAATTTCATTGCATACAAAGTGAGATCATGTATAAATAATTTTAATATGTTTTTATTGACTTTTATTTTATTATTTTTTTTATTGACTTTTTAGAGAGAGAGAAACATCGATGTGAGAGAGAAGCATCAATCAGTTGCCTCCTGCACACCTCCCACTGAGGACTGAGCCCGAAACCCAGGCATGTGTCCTGACCGGTAACTGAACCAAGACATCTCAGTCCATGAAACAACATTCAGTCCACTGAGCCACACTGGCCAGGCCATGTATGAATATTTTATTGAAATCCTCAAACACCACACAAATAATAATGAGCAGAAGTATGTTATAATTCAGAGATCAGACTTTGGAATCAAACAGAACTAGGCTCCAATCCTGGCTCTGTCACTTCCTCTGTGACCTTGGGCAAGTGTCTTATCCTCTCTAAGAGTCAGTGTCCTCTTCTGTTAAATGGGAATTATAAGAATATGTACCTCACTGTAATAGTGATTCAATGGGATACTCTGTGTAAAGCACTTAGAAGAATGTCTGGCAAACAGCAAGTGCTCCGTAAATTTTAGTTCCTTGCATTTCAACTAGATTAGATGCTCATTTACCATGCCCACATAACCAGTTTTTCTGCACACCCTGACACTTGATTTTGCAGTGTTTTCATTTCATTACTCCCAGTTTGGTCTCACCACACTCTCGATCTAGTCTGGACCCCAGAGTCAACAACTGCATTTGCTACCCCATGGGGTCCTTTCTTTGCCCCTCCTTCCTCACCCTCCTTCTATTCCTTTTGTAACTGTCCTCAGGCTAGTGGTCTCTCAGCTCCAGTCTTCCCAACTCTAATTCATCCTACATAGCTCTACCTTTTTATCTTCCCAGAATGAAATCTTACGCATGACATTTTTCTGCTCAAAATTCTCAAAGCATCACCACTGCCAAATGAATTAACTTTTCACTATATCACTCAAGACATCTCACTTTGGGTCTCAATCTACCTTTCCTGCTATCTTTCCAATTTAGCCAATCTGATGTACCTGTTGCCATACTACATTCCCCCACATTCACGATTTTGTTCATACTATTTCCTCTTATTTAAACATCCTCTCCTTCATCTCTGCCTTTAAAAATCCTACCCCTCTTTGGAGACCAATCTCAAATTCCACTTTCCTTACAAAGTACCTTCCAGACCCTCCAACCTCGAACCATATTACGTGTATCTCTCTTTGGGACACTTATATTTAGCCTTGCCTTAGGGCTGATTCTTTCATAATTCCTATCTAACCTCTGTCATCTATCCATGACTTTGCTCATACCAAGTAGACAATAAATATGGATGTTCCCTCACTGTGTTTAATTAGTTATAGTTGAATACACATATTTACTTTGATGCCCTGTATCACATAGAACCCTAAAACAAAGATAAAATAAAAAAAAAAACCTTGGTAGTTGCTGCTGTACTTAGCAATATAGGGTAGGTCCTGGGTTGCTAGAATGTTTACCCAACAGAAAATCTTGAGTTCATTAAAACAAGTACATCATTAGTTCATTTAACATGCAAGAAATATAAACTTGGCCTTGACAACCACTCAGCTAACTACAGTACTACTAAAAATATCTTAATCTTAAACTGAAAATTGAACAGATTTTTTGGATTTTATTTGGGATTTTGATTTAGTGATACTGGAAAAATATAGTTCTTGCTGTAACAGAGGGCTTGGTGAAATTATCGTTTTTTTAATCATTTTATATAAGCTTTTAGGATGTAAAATGAAACTATTTTTTAAATTATGTGTTAACCCTGACTTCACTATTTGGCAGTTTTTGGTGCTAATGAGGCTTCTTGGATTCAAGTCAGCAAGTCAAACAAAAGTGATTTGTTAAACTACATGAAAGAAAATGATGTTTAAAAGTTTGCCAGGACTATGACCAAAAAAAATGCTCAAGGGGTACTTGATATTTGAAAAACACCATTCAAGAAACCCTGCCTCTACTCTGCCTCCCCAATTTGAAATTACCAAAAACTTTGAAATGATTGTGCAGCTCAATCCAATTAGAATATTCAACAATTAGAATTCAGTATTGCCAAAAAAAAGAAGAGAGATAATAACTCAAGATGCTGCTTTATAAGAGTAGCAGCATTGTATTTTTCAAATAACTTCTTTGTCCTGCCTTTAAGTCTCTGAAAACAATCACAGAAACATCCATATTCTGAATAGTTACATTGGTCAGTTCCTTTGTTTATTGCTCTGTATACAGTGATCATCATTTCCAAATTTTCCCAGATTGCTTTGATATCACCTGATTCATTTTAAGTAGAGGCAATTTCTTAAATCCTATAATCCAATCTTTCACAGTGTGGATTTTCCTATAAATACACAGACCAGTTTAAAAAAAAAAAAAACCTTTCCCAGACTATATTACCCCTAATCTTTTACCGAGACACAGTTGGCTCTGAAGCACCACGGCAGTTAATTAAAGGTCAATACTGGTCATTGCTAAGGCCCCAGTACTTATTGTAAATGCCTCCCTCCACATCCTTTGAGAACTTTATGAGGCTTTACACACTTCCTCTCACTAATAAGAGTTCCCCTCAATGTCTTATTTACTTATAATATTAAATAAGTTTGTCTCCTGAAGTCATTCACCAAATGATCAGATCTCTCCTCCAACATCATTCCTTCTATAATAGCATCGGGAGTACTCACCATTGGCATTTCAATAATTGATGGTCTGGGGATAGAAGTCTGAAAGGCCACTACTTCACAATCCAATTCACAATCTGGGGACACAGGCACATCCTCAGCGGTTTCGGCAGGCTGGACAGCAATGTGGTTACTTGAATTCCGATTTGCACTGCCATTTCTGTCTGAATGGGTGCCGGAATCTTGCCTTTTCTCTGAAGATGCTTCTTCCCCTCTCTGCTGACTTGGGTGTCGACCGGCTTTGGCCATGGGCTGATCATAAATGGTGGAATGAGTATCAGACACTATGGGCTGATCGCAAGGAGCATTCTCCCTCGTATTCCCAAAACAGGCCAGCAGAGCTGAACATGGAAATGGATGCATCCTTCTAGATGGAGATTTCAGTCTTTTGGCGAGCCTTGCTTTCCATGTGGACATGACCTGCAGTGAAACATAGCAAAGTTCATGTTTTGCAAAGAAAATTTTCCAGGGGTTCAGATCACCTTCAGTTTCCTTATCATAAATAACTATTTCCTTGCCTGAAGAAAAGGACTTTCTAGTAGTTGCCCCTAAATAGAAGATTAGAAGATGGCCATGCTGCCCTCCCTGAGAGTCACTCAGTGGCTATCACCCTTCGGAAGTGTTTGTCCGGGCGATTTCGCTAAAGAAAGCTGTCTGTGAGGTATATGGTTGGCTTGGGTTACAGTCCCCAGGCAGGGCAAACGCTTCAGTGTAAGGTAGTGCCAAGTCAATAGGCAGTTGCTTCAGGTTACCTTGGAGGCATAAAGATAATGTAGCCTGATAGTATCCGCCATAATAGCGTCAGCCTGTGTATCAATAACATCATAACAGCCACATAACCTTCTTCAGTTACTCCCTTCAAATATTTATTCTCCCAAACAAAACAAACACCACCCAGATATCTATCACAAATGAAGACCCCCAAGAGGGTCCTTGACCTTGGCAGCTGTTTCATTATTCAAATAGGAGGTAGACTTGAATCTTTTGTCTGGAGAGATCCAGGTTTGGGTTTGACATCACAAGGATTTTTCTGGATCTTTCTTGATTCTTTGCCTCAAACTTCCTGGCTTCAGAATCACACATTGCCCCTTCTGGTAACTGTTGTAACCCAGGAGAGTCATCCTCACTCAGATATCAAGTAATTTTGAATATTAGGAGTTTTATTACCTGCGCAGGGACTGCAGCCAACCTACACAGAGGAGAACTGCAGCCCCGAGCTCAGGGGGCGGGTTGCTTATATAGGACAGGGGTTACTCAAGAGTTTAGCAGAGCAAGCAAGCTACGTGTACAGAAGCAGATATCAGCAGTTAGTAGTTGCACAAATTGTTTGTTTTATATTTTTTAACATTTACTAAACCCTAGCCTTGAATGCCTCATCGTCCCGTCTGGCATCTCCTGATTAGTTAAGCTCATGGTCATGGCTGATGCATTTCTTTAAGAATTTTTGCAAAAACAACTCGGGCTCAAGGAACCCAGGAGAGGTTCCTTCTTCTAGCAGATGGAGAATTACTGGGTTATAACATTCCCCACTGGTTTTATGCATAGATCAAATCTTTGATCTAATGGCAACCTTTGGTTATGAGAGGCCAGGACTAATAATTTGATAGATTGGACCCTCTCTCTTATGAAAGTTATTAATTTGTTTATTATTATAGGTCTATAGAAATAGTCCTAGAAATAGGAGTATGAGGGGGCCTGCTAGAGCAGAGAGAAGAGTAGTGAGCCAGGGGGACCAGTTATAAAGGCCTTTGAATTCGCTATTAGAGGCCTCTTCGCTTCTGGCCTGTTCTGCGAGGCGCTTCCTAAGAACCTGGATACTCCCTCTGATGACTCCTATCTATTGGCATAAAAACAGCAAGCTTCCCTTAGTGTTTGAAATGCTGTAAGGTGTCAGTGAGATAACTAGAGACACACAGCTGATTGTAAAGGAGCACTTTATTATATGGGCGGGCTGGGGGGGCATTCCCCAAATCCTCAGCAACCTGCCTTCTTTGTTGTCTGTTTTTTAAAGGCATAAACTACAGAAAAAAAACTATATTTTTTTGGTGCCGCTTTTGGCACCGTTAAGGGGGGTCTGATACAGAGAAGGGGGAAAGAGGAGCTTGTTTTGTCAGGGAAGTTTTTAATCTCGTTTTTCTCATGGTTCCTCTGAGTTCCCCAAGGCCATTATTAACCCCTTATCTTCATATTTTTCTTTGGGTTTTTCAAGGCCCTTATATTTACAAAGAAAGTCTGCTAGGGTGTGTACGTGTAGTAACTGAGGGTCAGAATGGAGTTATTACATCCCCTTTGTGGTGACATTTTTAAGATTTCCCCTGTACAGTTATAATCAGAAAAATTAGAGTCCCAATAAATGCAAGAGTCTCATTTTTAAGGAATCTGGAGAAGCCTGCACCGTCTATTTTGCTTTTTCCGCCTTCAGCCAGGAATTGTGCAGCTAGAGCAGGATGCCGTTGACCTTGACAGCCGTTGGTGCAGGCAGGATGACAGTGTATGGTCCCTTCCAGGCCGGAGTTAGTCCCTGGGTGGTGAATTTCTTTATCTATATTGAGTCCCCAGGCTGGAAAGGGTGCACAGGGTTCGAGGTGGGCACAGGCAGGGCATCGCAGATGTGTTTATGGATGGTCTTCTGGGAAGACTGCAGAGCCTGTAAGAACTGTAAGAGGGTGAGGGGGAGCAGAGTGGTCCAGTTTTCACCGGTTTCTAAAGTAAATTTGGTTAAGGTTTTCTTTATTATATCCCAGACTGTTATTCTATTATTAGGGGCAAGCTCTCCCCTCTTAGTGTCCTATCTTCTTCCCTTCTTGAGTATTTTTTCAATGTCCTGTCTTCCTGTAATATCTATGTCCCTTTCTTTTACCTTTCCTTATCTTTTTATTTCCTCTGTATAATCCTTTTCTTTATATTATTTCCCTCTCTATAATCCTTCTTCAGCTTGCTGATAGACCCTCTACGACTTATACAACCCTTCTTCAACTTACATAGACCCTCTGCGACTTTCCTAGCCCCTCCCCTGACGTGAACCTGAGAGCTTGTTAATCTATCTGCTGTCTGCACATCCCCAGCTTTTCTTCTCCTTTCCCTATTTAGACCTATATATTTTTGTTTTCTTCTACCTTCTCCTTTTCCCTGTGACCTTACTGGAGTTCAGTAGGCTTGGTGTAACCTAACAGGGTAGTCTGGTGCAGCTGGTTGACCAAAGTCCGACCTAGAGCCTCTGGGATTAATAACTTCCCATCAGGCAGTGTCTATTATCCGTTGCTTTTCTTCATGGCTTGTTTTCTGTTTGGCTAAGTCATTTTCTGACCCAGTGTAAGTAGGAGTCAGAGGCAAACTTGGGTTTGGCATAGTGACTGATATCTAGAGAGGTCCCCACCTGTCAAGCTTCCTTATTTGCAGCACAGTTTCCCCTTGTCTCATCAGAGAGCCTAGATTAGGGCTATGAGTTCAGCCCCTTGGGCTGAAGTTCCTCTGTTTAATGACTGAGACCAAATGACACTATCCAGAGTTACTACTGCTGCCCCAGCATACCTGATTTCTTCCTGGACATAGCTGTTCCCATTTGTGAACAATACCTCATCTGATGATGGCAGTGGGTCATCCTTGAGGTCTGGGTGGTCGTCTGCAGTGTTGATTGCCTCCAGGCAGTCCTGCAGAGGTTTCTCCGGGTCATCATCTGGAGGCAGGCTGGCAGGATTGATGGCAATATCCTGGGGAACTTGATGTGAGGGATGGCCTGGAGTGGCAGTGGCCAGCAATTGAATGATCTCTGGAGTAGATCATGTCTGAGTAGGGGGTATGGGCATTCCGGCAGGAACAGAAACAAATGAGTCACAGTATTTTCCCAAGGTCCATAGTCCTCTTTGAAGTCCAGGAGTAGGTTAGGGTCCCATTGGCTCGGTCAGGACTGAGTCTGCTGCACCAGTGTCTACCAAGAAACTAACTAGTTTGTTCCCTATTGTCTTGTATTATTCTGGGCTCCAGAGGGCTCAGCTGGAAGGAGCCCTAGCCCTGTCATTTTCCTAAATTAAGGACGGCTTTTCATTTTGTTCCTCTATACCTGACTTTGCCCTTGTCTTTTTTATCTCTAATCGGGACCTAGGCCTGCTATCCTGACCCTTCCTCATGTTTCCCTTCCTAGGGTGACCCTGTTCTATGTGTCCTGTTTCCCTTAAGTCTGCTATTATTACCTTTGTTAATTCAGCCAATTGGGCCAATAGGCCTAACAGGAGAACACGGTGAAAAGTGTCTAAGGAAGCCCTTCCCCCAACAGTACCACAGTCAGAGGAATGGGAACATTTCCCCTGACCCCAGGTTTACAAAAGGATGCAGGAAAGGGGAGCAACATCCTAACACATATGTTTATGCGGGGCAGAGTGTTTTTTAACTCTCCAAGAGCACTTTGTACCCGTGCCTGGGATCCCTATATTTAATTCCCTAAAGTTCAGAGAAGCCTGTTGGAAATTAGTTGCTACCAAACCTGCTGCAGAGGAGCAGCCCAGGCTGGCATTGAAAGCATTAACAGATCCAAATTCATCTTCTAGCTTTTCTGTGATAAGAACCCAAAATAGGCAAACTCAGGTTAATTAACATTTTAGTCTATCCTCAAGAGAGGTCCTGAAGGACAAGATAGAATTTCCTCGGGGGCTGGGAGGAGTTAACTGTCTTTCAGAGCAGGCGGAGGCATTGTTAATAAAACTGTTTTTTCCTTTCATTTGAACCTCCGGACACTGACATTTCTAATCCAAATATCAATGTATACCTTTGATCAGGGTGGGGAACCCCACACATAACGGACCTCATAGCAAACAAAAGACTCAAGTCAAAAGACCCTTCAGATGGCTAATTAACTCAGAATGTTGGCCACTCCAATTCACAGAGGGTCCGGAGGACCCCAGGATTGGCTGGTGTTCTGTAGCCTTGGGATCTCCTGGAAAAGTCAGAAAAGTTAGCAAGAATGCATTCAAGGGGCGTTGATGGTCCTTGTCTCATCCTGCCGAAAGCAAAACAGTTAGAGCAGCAGAGAACATGGAACACAAATAGACAGACAACCGCGGTCAAAACACAAAATATTAGTTTCAGAACAGATGCACCCGAAAGTGCCAGATGGAAACCCACCGGTTTCCTGCACCCGAAAGTGCCAGATGGAAACCCACCGGGTTTCCTGCACCCAAAAGTGCCAGACGCACCCGAAAGTGCCAGATGGAAACCCACCGGGTCTCCTGCACCCGAAAGTGCCAGATGGAAACCCACCGGGTTTCCTGCACCCGAAAGTGCCAGATGCACCCGAAAGTGCCAGATGGAAACCCACCGGGTCTCCTGCACCCGAAAGTGCCAGACGCACCCGAAAGTGCCAGACGCACCCGAAAGTGCCAGATGGAAACCCACCGGGTCTCCTGCACCCGAAAGTGCCAGAC